GACTAGTATGTGTGTGTGTGTTGGTACTTGTTTTTTATTTATTTATTTATTTTTATAGTTTTCAGTTCATGGATGGATATGATGTTCAAGCAAGAATGTCAATTTTGGTGCCTTTACTAGACTGTTTTCACTAATTTGAATTTGGAGTCACAATTTGATCACAAATTCTGTGGGTGACTTACAATCCTTTCCCAACTTCTGTGTCTTGATTGGTGATGGATTGCTATGTGTGTGTGTTGCTGCTTGTTTGTTTGTTTTGTTTTGTTTTGTTTTTTTAGTTCAGGGATACACACAGTGAAAGCAAGAATGTCAACTTTCGGACCTTCACTATATTGTTTTGCCCAAATTGAATTTAGAGTGACGAATTGTGTGTATGAGTCACAATCCTTTTCCAACTTCTGTGTGCTATCTTTGTCTATGTGTGAATCACCGAACACAAAATAAAAGACACAAAAATAACAAGTCACCAAAAACAAAATAATAGAAAAAAATACACAATTTTCATCTCAAAATCAATTTTTTCCTTGCACAATAGTTCACCCATTACATATGATTCATATACATGATACATACTCCATTCATTCATATATTACCATACAACTTGTAACTTTACATTACAAACCATATTCTTACAACCAACCATGACAAAACCAAGCAAATCCATAATTTCCTCTCTCTTCCAGTCATTTTATCCTACTGTGCTTCCATCTTATTCAATTTCTTCAACAAACCAGAACTGATCTACATTGCCCGATCGTACATGGATGGGTCTACCCAGGTAAAGTGATTGCAACCATTGTTAGGGCAACTTAGAAATCTCATCTCAAGATTTGTGTCGGTCCATGCCATGTGTATCGACCTTCTTCTTCCACAAACATTGCAAAACATCTTGTCCACACCACTTGCATTCCATCTCTCTTGATTTTTTGAGCTTTGATTGTTCCTCATTTCTTCTCTTCCATTGCTTTCGTTCATGCTCTGTTTGTTTTTTTTTTTTTTTCGTCCATGTTTTTGTAAGTTGAAGGGAAGAGAAGGGAATGTTAGGTTTTGGCGGGAAAGGCTTAATTTTCCCTCCACACAAAAGTGTAAGGGGCCATGTCATCCATTCTGTCCACTTCCTTGACGGAAATAGACGGCAAGGATAAAATTGATAGGAATTTACATAGTATGGGGGGTAAAATTGAAAATAATAAAAGTTTGGGAGTGTAATTGAAAATCGTGACAAAATATAGGGATAAAAATAAAATGTTCTCTTATATCTTCTAGAAGACAAATATAGCCTTTTTTTGGTAGCTCATTCACCTTTCACACTACTGTCTCTTCATTATTACCTGTGATTCTATGAAAGGATTTTGGAAAAATAAAAAAATTAATCAAAACACTTTCTCATAAGCAATGAAAAGCAGGATGAGAAAGAGTCAAGACAATACCAAGTCTAAAAATTTACATGTACCACCAAATCACTGGCAGGTGTAGCAGTAGTAGTACGAGTGGTGTGATATAAAATGTTTGTATGTTGTGATGTGGAATGATATATAAAGTTATACGTTTCTGCTAGTAAAATAATGTTTTTATTTACATATTATTATGTTTGGTTTGCAATAGTTGAGAGACTCCATGGTATTACATGTATGATGAATGTATCACATTTTCAAAAAGTGATGAATTGAAACCCACTTCATATATCGCGGTCTTTCAACGTCTTCCATCACTTGCACTTGGCAGTATCCAGAAAAAAAGAGAGTTTATATTGGTGAAGTAACAAGCTCCCTCGACCAGTCAAATGGGAATCAGACATCTAGATCAGAAAAAAAGTGTACAAATTAGATTTGTTTTAAGTGTAATTTACATTACGATCATGCATTTTATTTTTAATATTATTTTTCAAACAGTTTTTTTTCTTTTGTCTTTTCAAAATTTATATATTTTTCTAAGCAAGAAGGGGCGGGGGAAATTTTGCCTCTTCAAATGTGATGTGGCCCATGGTTTACTAACCATTTCGTGCTAAAACCGAATAAAATAAATGAAAGGACGGTTAGGAGTATATATACATAAGGCTCCTCAATCTTTAAGGAGTTGGTCTAGGGAGCATAATTTAAAGTTTGGGATGTGTTATCTCTAGGTCTCTGGTTCAATACATACTAGTCCCAAGAATTTAAATGTGCTTCCGCAAGTGGGTGGTGAAATTGGTCTTCAAAAATTAGTCGAGGTGCGTATAAATCAGTTAGAACACTCGGTTATCAAAATATATATATATATATATATATATACGGAATTTGTTATGCACCTTAATTTGAAGATGGGACAGTTACAAAAAAATTCAAGGTTTGATTTTTGTAACAAAATAAACCTTGAGTTTTTAATTTTGTCAATTTAAAATCTATACTTTTGATTTATTTTTTATCTGAAGTATGTGCCTATTTCCACTAACTAAAACCGATGAAAAAATAAGTATTTTAATCATTAAACTCATATTTCTGCTTACTAAAATTGATTGAAAAAAATAATATTTTAATCATTAAATTTGATGTAGGTATACATAAAATGTTTTCGTCAGTTTTAGTTAGTAGAAATAGGCAAATGATTTAGATTGAAAACAAATAAAAAATTTAGAATTTAAATTGAAAAAATTAAAAACTTATAATTTATTTTGTTATAAGGGTTAAATTTTGAGATTTCTTTATTTTTTTATTTTTATATTTATAATTTTCCCTTTGAAGATTTTAATTTTACTTTTATTTTATTTTATTTTGGAGACAAATTATAGTTATCGTCTTGGAGTTTGACTTTTGTATCACATTAATCCTTAAATTTCTAATTGCATGAAGTTTAAGCTTGAATTTTCATATTCTGTAAGTTTATTCCAATTGATAATATTTCCTTAGATTGTGTTTGGATTATGATGGATTTAGACACGGATTTGGAAAGAAAAAGAAAAATGTCACATTTCACCACATTTTTTCTGTCAATTTCTAAATTTGTACTTAAATCCATAATCCAAATACAATCTTAAAAATTGGATTGAAATCAAGTTTAAGTTCGAATTTTTCATGTTGCGTTAATTTTATCTAATTGATAATATCCCTTAAGGCTGTGTTTGGATTATGAATTTGGATAAAGATTTAGAAAAAAAAAGAAGCAAAGGCGGTGAAATGTGAATGAAATATAACTACATTTCACAATTCTTTTTATTTTCTCTTTCTAAATCTTTATTCAAATTTATGATCCAAACACAATCTTAAAAATTCAATTGAAATCAATGAATAACACAACCCATTCACCCTTCTCAAAGTGATTGAAGGATTTTGCCTTCAATTTGAAAGGCTCATTTATTTTTCAATAGACCATTTTACTCTTAATAGAAATTGATAGAAATTAAAGATTTCAACATACCTCGATTTCCTTTCATGGTGGTGGTAACTTCAGCTGATATGGAGTGAAATACAACATCTGCAAGGTTGCACCTTCTTCTTTTTTTTTTTTTTTTTCAGTGTTATACTTGCTCTTCAATTTTTAGGTCTGAATCTAATTGGAAGTGGGCTCCAATATTACTAAAAATGCCATAAATACGAAAAGTCATTACATGGAATCGAAATGAATATGGTAGGCACTCTAGTACGAATAAATATTATTTCACCAGGTCCATATAATTTGAAAAAATTTAGAAATTTAAAATTTAAAGAAGAATTATTTATGGGGTGGCCCCACAACAAGAAAATTAAATTTACACTTCATTTAGAATGCTGAACAACTTTCTGATCTAGAATTCTGATATGTATATATATATATATATATATTAGCCTAGTATGAACAAATATTGAATGTGAAAATCGATAAGCAAAATTGGGTAAATTACAAATACACCTTTTGAATTTTGTTTAAAATACAGATTGTTTCTTATGGTTTGAAAAATTACAAATACCCCCTTATTATAATTTTTTATTTAACAGAATTAACTAGAAAAATGAAATTCATAATTGCTCTCTTATACAATAATAAAATTACCTAAATTATTAATTAAAACGTATTTTTTAATATCATTAAAACCTGTTAATTGACCTGATGATTTATTAATAAAAGATGCGATTTGTTATGAAATTAGAAACCTTAAGAGGTGGAATATAATTTTCAAAACTATAGGAGGTGATTCATATTTTAATCAAATCTCAGAGGATATATTTATAATTTACCCAATAAAATTAGGTGGACAATGTGTCTCACACTAGCACTAATCTAGCCATGTGATTCTCCCTAAAGTCATGTGATATTATTGTTATACCCTATGTTGCATATACTTTTTAAAATAAATCAAATACTCACGTTTGACATATGATACTTAGATAAGGGTATGAGATATATGTCCGATACTTTTCACTGGACATTTCTTCTATATTTGTATTTAACATTATCTTATATGTATCATTTGTTGTGTAATTGCTATAAATTAACTTCTTTTTTATTTTTTTATTTTTTATGACTGGGTGTCTAGACCAACTTATACGTACCTCGATTAATTCGGAGACCCACGCAAAGTGTCCCGTCCACATGGCTATAAAACACCTTTTAACATTATATATTATATATAGTCAACCATTTTATTTTACATAATAGATTAAAAATATAAAAATATGATATTTTTTATCGAGTCTGTGTACCTTTAGATTTGAGATTTTAAGAGTCCACCATTTAGATATACAGTCGCACCTGAATCTATGTAATATAGGTTATACCCGACAACAATACTAAATATCATGAAAAACCTTTCATGAAAATAATTATGAAAGTTTTATAACCCTTAAATTATACTTAGAATAAAATATCACACACTAATTAAGATAATCTAATAATCATAAATTTTTCATGATTATTTTTATGAAAAATTTTTCATAACCTCTAACTTTTTCTTATACCCAATGTTTATTCTTCTAATACCGGCTGTTATGGGTAAGCTCAGTGACAGCAACTATAGCACTGCCTACTTATAGCAACATAGCAGCCACTCCTTTTCCTCAAAAACCTTTGAGTTATACCATCTTCTCTCAAGCTTAAGTGCTCTTGTCTCTCACTAACAAATCATCAACCTCTCAATATTTTCTCCATTAATGGAATCCAAAGACTACACCCAAGATGGCACTGTGGATCTCCATGGCCACCCTGCCCTTGCTTCCAAAACTGGCAAATGGAAAGCTTGTGCTTTTCTCGTTGGTATACTCATCTTCTTATCTCTTCTTCTCGTTGTGTTCTCATTTTCTGTTTTCGTTTTCTTTTTCGTTCTCATTACGTAAATTATGCCACAGAAGAGTAGTGATAGAAAATTAATGGTGTTTTGTTGGTTATGAAGGGTATGAAGCATTTGAGAGGATGGCATTCTATGCAGTAGCATCCAATTTAGTGGTTTACTTGACAACCCAACTTCATGAAGACACTGTTTCATCTGTGAGGAATGTCAATAACTGGTCTGGCTCAGTTTGGATGACTCCAATCGTTGGCGCCTATATAGCAGATTCTTACTTGGGTCGCTTCTGGACCTTCACATTGTCATCTCTCATTTATGTCCTGGTAAATTTCTTTCATCTCTATTGTTTTTAAGAAAAATACACTATTCTTTTAGAAGTTTTTTACACAATTATCCATCAGAATTATTAGACTTATCTCACATCGTCTTTCTAAGCTGCCCGAGTTTGATTAATATATTTGAGAGGCCGCTTCAAATCAATGTCAATTGATTTTGAATTAAATGTTTTGACCAGAATGGCATGGTACAATAGTGCTCTTTTTTGAAAAAAATAAAATAAAAAATCTTCATGATTTTTTTTTTAAAGTGATAAAGTCAATTTAACATATTATTTTGTATATATCTTTCTGCATAAATTTTACTTTTTGCGTATCCTTACCCAAACATGGTCCCATCAACACGTTCTTTTTCTTGTGCATATTTTATAGTGACCCATTTACTTGATAATGTCCATATACAACATTGTTATCTCTGCCTACGCTCTCAATGGCCAATAAAACTCATAATTTTTTCAAAATCTATACATGTATATATATATATATATTTAAATGCACAGAATGTAGTGTTGAGCATTACGTTCATTTTAGGAAAATATTTGAGGGCCACAATTTTTGTGGCCACAATGGCTCAAAACTGTCAAAACGACGTCGTTTTGGGTACAAAACATGCCAAAACGACGTCGTTTTGACAGTTTTGAGCCATTATGGCTACAAAAATTGTGACCCTCTAGCGTTGTTGTTCATTTTAATGCTGTCAGTACTTTGTATTCTATTCATAATTTTTTCATGTGTTTATGTAGAACTTTTGCTCGTGGGGTGGGACCGATAATAACCACTATTACATGGAAGATGTATTTAGGTTATCCACAGGCTTATGATTTGTTGGGAGATTATATTATTCCTTCTAGTTGAAATTTAAAGCTCCGTTTGGAAAGAGAGGTTTGGAATTTTTTTCGGCTAAAATAGTCACAAAAAACAAAATAGATTTTTTAACTCAATAAGACAAAACATCACATCCAATTCATAATCATTACATTCATTCTCTCACAGAAAAATTAAAAAAATTAAAAAAGTCAAAAGTCTTTCTCAAATCAAATTTTTTAGTCCCAGACTAAAATAGTCAAAAAAAACCAAAAAATCAACTCACTTCCTAAACGAAGCCTAAATATGCACAAGTTGGAAATGATCTGTAACAAGATTATCCACATGCTTATGATGATTTGTGTTAATTCATCAAGTTGGAATTAGATATGCATATACAGGTTAGACGCTCTTTTCAATGCTTTAATGAATTTCAATTCAATTGATTGAAAAGGACATGTACTTCGTATTCATCAATGAAAACCACATAGTACTGCATTCGCATCATAATTTGAAACAGTATCGGCAATATGATGATATAATATTGGTGAATTATTACAATGGCTTGTAGTTGTTGATTTTTTCCGCTACAGAAATTTTTTTAAATTTTTTTTCCCATTTTATTTTCCTAACATTTTTCCAGGAATATTTTTGAATGTGAAAATTGTAGGTGTCAAATTAGATATCTCGAGAAAATTCACATACACAAAATTTTTTTTTTTGGTTGAAAATATACAGCAACCAATTTTCTCAATTCCATTGCAAGCAAGCCAGCTAGCTGGCTCATTTTATATATGCCACCAATTTCACTTGATTTTTCTTTCGCTTTATTGCATGCAATTCTTTATTCCTAAATGTCTACATCTCATTGCACTTATAATCATTAGATCATGACTCGAGATTTTTATGATCTTACATATGATTCTTAACATGTACGTGTGATGATACAAAAAGTAACTGACTTATTCATAAAGATTTTTATCCACTTAGAATTATTAGTGCATGTTTCGAGTTTCTGGAAATCTTACACAAGATTCTTGGCCCTGTACCTGATATTAAAAGTAATAGACTCATTCATAATGATCTCAATGCACTTACAATCATTCGATCATATCTCAACATTCTTATAATCTTATATAAGATTCTTAGCCTGTACCTGATGCTAAAAGTAAACGACTCATTTACAATGATGTCAACAGGGAATGGTACTTCTAACAATGGCAGTATCAATCAAAATCTTGAAACCAACATGCATAAATGGGGTATGCAACAAGGCCTCATCTTCCCAAACAGCATTCTTCTACTCAGCTCTCTACATCATAGCAGTTGGGGCTGGTGGGACCAAGCCCAACATCTCCACCTTTGGTGCAGACCAATTTGATGACTTCAACCCACATGAGAAGAAGCTCAAGGTGTCTTTCTTCAATTGGTGGATGTTCAGTTCCTTCATTGGTGCACTCTTGGCTACCCTAGGCCTTGTCTACATCCAAGACAACTTGGGTTGGGGATTAGGGTATGGTATCCCAACAGCTGGGCTTTTACTGTCTCTATTCATATTCTACAGTGGGACACCATTGTACAGGCACAAGGTTAGGAAGACTAAGAGCCCTGCTGGTGAACTACTTCGAGTCCCTATCGTTGCGTTTGCTAACAGGAAGCTTAGAGTTCCAAGCCACCCGTCCGAACTTCATGAGTTTGAGCTCCGACATTACATTCATAGCGGTAAACGCCAGATCCATCACTCCCCAATTTTTAGGTGAGTAAGTTTTACTGCCATTTCTAGAAGTTATATTTGAGTTTCATGGGGGTCTGTTTCATTTTTTCGTGTTTTCAAAGCAAAAATATCCCAACACTACTCTCCAATATTTAGGTGAAGGAGCTTTACTACCATTTTGAGTACTAGTTATATTTGAATTTCTTAGGGCTTATTTCGTTTTTTTGTGTTTTTGAGCAAAAATAACCCATCACTCTCCAGTTTTTAGGTGAGTGAGTTTTACTTCCATTCATCATTACAATAAATAAAAGTTTTACAAACTAAACGTTTTACTCTTTAAAAATGAAAATTTTGTTGTAAAAGACTTTGAGGGACCATTTTTTATCGTCATGATGATAGTCGCTAAAAGGTTGTTCTGAAAAGTCCAAAAGAAGGCTTTTAGTGACAAAATTTTGAAAATGTTACTAATAAATAGACTTTTCGGGACAAAATAATTTAGTCTCAAAATGGTTTATTTTTTGAGAAAAATTTTTTATCCCAAAAGAATAATAATTTATCACTAATGTCTAATTTTTATTACTAAAAATATAATAACGACACTTTTCGCAACAAAAATATTTGGTTTTAAAAAAATAATTTTGTCTCTAAATTTTAGTCTTTAAAATTTTAATTTTTATAGTGTATAGTAGTTATATTTGAATTTCTTGGGCCTATTTCATTTCTCGTGTTTTCGGAAACAAAAATAACAAAACGCTCAAGAACATCTATTGTTATATCGTTTTTTGTTCTAGTGCGAAAATAATTTTCAAATATGAAAAATGAGTTTTGGGTATTTGAAGCAGTTTTATTTAGGGGTGGGCGCGGGTCGGTTGCGGCCACGGAACCTCCAATCCGCCATCCGTCTGCCAGATTGGCGGATTGAAGAAAATCAATCCGCATCCGTCCGCCAATCCGGCGGATGTGGATTGATTAGTTTTCCATTTCATTGAAATTAAGTGGAGGTGAGAATAACATCTATAAATATAAATGAATCCAACTACTCAAAGCTCCAATTATTGAAATAGGAAAATTTTAGAATGAACTTGTGGCTTAAAATCTTTTCTCAGTTCATAACTATAACTGTCATTGAAAGTGGTACCACTACTACTACCCCTTGGGTACAGGTAATTGTGAAAGATTTTTGTTTTCATTAATGCAAAGTCCAGTACCATATCTAACTTTTGCATTAATCTCTATTATTAACCTCAAACATAATATTTTTAAAAAATGTTATATATAAACAAATTTATTATTTGATTTTCTTATTACTAAACATAAATAGACAAGTCTCATATAAATTTATTAGTGTAGACCGGACTACCTTTGTATCTAGTGGTAAAAAAAAAAAAAATTGATGAGAAATTTACTCTATCTAACGTTTGCATTATTCTCTATTATTGTTCTTACAAAAATAAAAAAATGCTATAAACGGACTTTTTATCTAATTTTAGCTTACCAGTAAAAAAAAAAAAAAAAATCGACTTATAGATAACATTATTCTATAAATATGGTTGATGAGAACCCCAAGAGATTTGACTTAGTAGGAGGAGAAGGCAACTAAAAGGCTTATCACTCAAGAGGTTGCACATTTGAATATTACAAAGACAACTCAAATCTTGATGCCAATAGAGATTAAGCTGGTTGGAATATCCGCTTATCAAATAAATATATACATATATAAGTGTGTGTGTATGTGTGTGGGGGTTGCTGAGTAACCTAAATATTTTTGGTATGATTACATGCATTCAAGTGAAATTTGGATAAGAAATTTATAAGGTCATGGACCTCATGATCATGAAGACCATAGAAAGATGCTCCTCTTGGTTTGGTGTTTAGTACCCAATCCTTTAATATATAGACCTATGCACTGTTCACTGTAATTATTCCCTTCTAGTCCTTCCTTAATGTTGTACTTAGTTGGGAGATTTGAAAAGAGATTTAAAAAAATAAATAAAAAATATAAATAAAATATAAATAAAATATACCTATATTTCACCTAATTTTACACACATTTTCTCGTTCTCTTTTTAAATCTATTTCTAAATTTTTTAACCAACCATAACATAAATGAATTGTCAGTGTCTACCCAAGTTGCTACGCCACATCACCTAGGAATTAGACCTCCCCACCATAACCACTCTTTCACAACAAAACAAACTACACCTACATCTACATGTAAAACACACTAGTGATTTTTAAAGCACAATTGTACATAGTGCTCTAAATGATGAGTTGAGTTGAGTTGAGTTGGGTTGAGATTTGGGTGTTTGAGCTCAGTCTGTCAAAAAAAAAAAAAAGACTATGTGTCAAAAAAAAAAAAAAAAAAAAAAAGCTAAATTTGAGTTCAAATCAAATTAAAAAAAATTAAATTCATCAACTATTTGAGAAAACTAAAATTATTTCTAAATAATTTGATTTACAGCCCTAATTATAAAAATAGAAAGCCCTTGATAAATGAGATGGGTCCACTTAAAAAATCAGTGATTCAGAGTACTAGTCTCCATCTAGATTCTCTTTAAACAGACCATGACTCTGTTTTTCACTTTTACGCTCTATTTAGTTGAGATTTAGGGAGAAATTTAAAAAGGGAAAGAAAAAATATGTGTACAATTATATGAAATGTAAGTATATTTTTTTCACATTTTATTTATTTTTTCTATTTTTTTTTCTAAATCACTCCTCAAATCGCTCAATCAAACATAACATTAATAGTTGAAATTCAAAACTTGAAAGCGATATTGAGCCATAGAATTGCTAATTGAACTATATATCAGTAAAAATAAGACAATTAAACTCTCCTGAAAACTACCTTCATACTTCTAGATGTTAACCAATCTTATAATTGGCTAGCATTTAAAGTATTTGTCTTTTTAAAAAATAAGTAAATAAAAAAAATGCATGCCTCTAAATAGGGTGAAAATTGTACTACCCTTCAACTTATGGGCGTAAGATTTGTTATTCCCCCAAAAAATCATGTTTTTATCCTATATATTCATATTCACTTGATTTACTTTTAATTAATTCTTAATTTAAATTTGATATGATACGAGTTATGCTTAAAATGAATTTAAACGCATTTTAAATTTTACATATTTTCTAATTATTTTTTGAAATATATAGCATTGATGATAGATACATAGATATATATAGAGAAATAGTGGGTTCCACTATTAACCAACAATCAATAAGATATTTTAATATATGAAAAAATTATTCACACGTGTAACATGTCGCATATTTATCGATAATTGATGTGGGTTCCATATAAGATTTACACTAATCAACGGAATATGACACTGGGCTTCAAGAATTCTGATTGGATAGAGTTACACAGAGAGTCATACAACCCATTCCTAAGGGACACATAAATTTGATTAACCTATTTCAAAAATTTTAAATACTTTCTTAGGCTGATGTATATGTCATGTCAATTTTTGGAGATCAGGCCCACTTCTGAGTGCAATCTTTAGGGTTCTACACAAGCAGACAAACCACATTTGCATGAGCAAATAAATATACTGATCAAATTAATATGGCTCACATGTTTTTAATTAGAATAATGTTTGAGACCCCCTTTTGGGGTCACCCCCTCACCCCCTTTGTCACGTGGCCGGTGGTGATTAGAGGAGTAGGAAAAAAAAGAAAAAGAAAAAGAAAATGTAACCAATGAGAGAGAGAGGGGGTCAAAGGGGGTGGGAGGAAAAGGGGGGATGAATCATTGTTGTTTTAATTATTTGCAGTTGTCAATCTTTAAAAATTGTAAATATTGTCAAATCTTAAGAAAATTAAATTTACACTTTTCTCCTCAGGTTCTTGGACAAGGCTGCAATCAAACAAGACAACCTTAATCCCTCAAAGCCTCCATGCTCAATCACTCAAGTAGAAGGAGCCAAACTCATTTTAGGCATGGCCATGATATGGGTAGTAACCCTAGTCCCCAGCACCATTTGGGCCCAAATCAACACCCTCTTTGTCAAGCAAGGGACCACCATGGACCGCAGGTTGGGTTCCAATTTTCACATCCCGGCTGCCTCACTAGGCAGCTTTGTCACCCTCTCCATGCTCGTTTCCGTTCCCATGTATGATCGTTACTTCGTCCCTCTCATGCGTCGAAGGACTGGAAACCCACGTGGCATCACTCTCCTCCAGAGACTTGGAATTGGATTCATCATCCAAATCATGGCCATTGCAATTGCCTATGTAGTTGAAGTCAGGCGCATCCATGTGACAAAAATTCACCACATTACAGGACCTAAAGAGATTGTTCCTATGAGCATACTTTGGCTATTGCCTCAATATGTTCTTCTAGGGATTGCCGATGTGTTCAATGCCATCGGATTGCTTGAGTTTTTCTATGATCAGTCGCCAGAGGACATGCAGAGTCTTGGGACAACGTTTTTTACTAGTGGGATCGGAGTTGGGAATTTTTTAAATAGCTTTCTGGTGACAATGGTGGATAAGATTACAGGAAGGGATGGAGGAAAGAGTTGGATTGGGAGGAATTTGAATGATTGTCACTTGGATTACTACTATGGGTTTCTTTTGGTGATATCTGCACTCAATTTAGGGGCTTTTTTGTGGGCATCAAGTGTGTATGTGTACAAAAGAGATGTTACTGAAATGAAGGAAGGATGTGTTCAAATGGAAGCCAAGTGCTTGGACACAACTCCCTTAGGATTACAAGTATGAGAAAAATTAGAGTGGCAACCAAGGTTTTAAACATCGATTGATATATCGAATATTATTTCGTCTTGTACCTTTAATTTCATGTCTTTAATGAAAATTTTAATTTGCTGATTAAAAAAAAAAGTTAACGGATTTTGGACTTCTGATACCATTATTCACCAACATATCAGTTGATTTTATCCGATATTAGTTGATATATAATTGTGTCGCTAGTACTGGTCGTATTCCAATATTGTTGTTCAATATCATAGTGTAACACATATGCTTATAAGCACTAGGATATTTAGTGTAGCATATTGATGTTTTTAATGTTACTCTATATAACTTTTCGATTGCCTTTTATTATTTAGTGTTGTGGTTTTGAAAACTGGTATTCTGAATACAAAAGTTAAAAGTATTTCATATCCGACTTTTTATTTATTAACCTTTTTTAAAATTAATTAAATCATTTTTATAAATTAAAAAAATAAAACGATTGTTACTAATTAACTATCACATCCATGAAATATTGATCACTATTCAATTTAGCAATATAGCAATCGCATTTTTTGTGTTGGTTTATATAATGTGAATAGTAAAATTCAATGATATACAAATATAATATTTACACAAAATTCAAACACAAATGATGTGATTGGTTATTTCATTTTAAACTAAAATACTCATCATTAATATTTATGATTTTAAAACTGTCATTGTAATATCATTTTGAGTATTTTTTTTATAAAACTTCTTTATAAATTATTTTCTTCTAATACCGTAAGTATAAAGGATGCTATGTGTATCCAGTTCAGTTCATGCTGATGATTATTATAAAAAAAATATCATAATTTAAAATCAAAAGCTTTTAAACAATGTTTCTATCCCAAATCAACTTTGAAATTATGGGGGGCCCAGCCCAAATTAACCAATAAGTGAAAAAGGTTGAAGCCCTTCAAATACTATGCATATAAGGCCCATATATAGGCAGGAGAGTCAGCCCATCCCCGATATGGGCTTTGGGCCGCTACTGTCAAAACCCCATATCCATACTACCATAGCAAAGGGTGTTTTCAATGAAAAGAGCCATGAGAGCTCCAAAATTCAATTCTAAATTTCTTAATTTTCTTATTTTAAAATAATTTAAAATCCTCTATTGGTTGACTCACATTTATTCATTAAAACAAAATTTCAATTATTTTCAAAAAGAAAATATATATAATATTTCATACAAAATATGGATGTATTCACCCAAATAAAAAATTGAAGATCAAGTCAAAATTTTCTAACAAATATTTATTTTTAGAAAAATATTTGAGACACCTAATTTATCATCCCTAAAAACTACCGTTAATGATGTGCCTGATAAGTGTCAAATTTTGACTTGTCAAACATTCCATCATGTGAGGTCTAATCTCAATATCATATCACTAGTAGTCATTTAGGGGTGACAAATTAGGAGATATGGTATTATTATTTTTTATGCATGATATGTGCTTATTTCCAAAATAAATTGCATGAAACTTTTCAATATAAATGATTCATACAAATATCTTTTTCTCACAATAAATCCAATGGACCACTCTCTCTCACTTTCCTTCTTTCTACATAAATTACTGGTCTAAATATATTGTGTTTGAGTGTTTTTGTCCCTTGACTCTTTATTTATACTATTATAAAAATAAATTTTTAGGACTTACATTTATTTTTTTTTAAATTTGCAACTTATTCCTATTAATGGTTGATTAAACACAATTTTTCATAAAAAAATATTTTGCTACTTTTTTTTTTTTATTTTAAGTTCAACCCATTTAATATTATTCGGGAAAAAAAAAGGGTAGTTATACCAAAAATGACATTTTAGGATTTGGGTTGGAAAAGACTTTTAGGCCCTAACTTGGGCCGAGCTGGAGATTGGGCAAAAGAGATTTTTGTATTTTCTAACAACATGACCTGAACTCGATCTAAATTTATATAAAAAAAATAAATTTTAATTTTAATTATTTTAAAATAAAACAATTATGATTTCACATCACCTGTGAACAATAGTATAACCAAGTTTTTTCTCTAAACAAAATTTGTTAAAATTTAAGAAAATAGTAAATTTTTATTTTTGAAATAAAATAGTGATTAAACTTTGAAAATCTTGATAAAACTAAAAATAAACCTATTAAATGAATATTACTTAAAATGATCAATATTCAATTAATTTTTAATGTAAAAAATATTAAAATAAAAATTTTCACCTAAGATTGAATAAGAAAATTCCATTCATATAGGTACTAAGGGTTGGTTTGGGGTGTCCTAAAAAAGTGCACTTTTTGTCTTTTTAGACTAAAAAAGACAAAAAAAAAAAATGGAGGTTTGGGTTAACTTTTTGACTTTTTATGAAAAAATGTGTATTAAAAAATTGTATAAAAAAAGTGTGTAAGAAATGATTAGAGAGGGTGGGCCCCAGCCATACAACCGGCTGGAGTGTATTGGAGTTGGAAATTATTGGCTAATTTTTGTACAAAGCATTGGACTGTTTTGTTTGGCCCGTGGGGGTCATCACGGGTCCCATTTTAATAATCTGAACCGTTCAATGTGTGTAACTCGTCGAACACTATGTACCTATAAAAAATCACGTTAATCGGATATTGATAGCTATCTGATCAGATTTATTTATTTTTTCAATCATTAATTATAACACCATCCATTTGTTGTATATAACTGATTTGATCATATAATTATCGATATCCGATCAATGTGATTTTTTGTAGACATATAGTACTCAACGATTTCTACACATTGAACGGTTCAGATTATCAAAACGGGACCCGTAATGGCCCCCATGGGACGAACAACGGTGTGTGTGAAAATCACACCGAATCATTTTATTTTTGCTGCACAGCCGCTGCTTTACATCAATTCAAATTGTACTTTTTGGGAAGAAAATTGATTTTTAAAATTTTTTTTTTTGGTGAATAGTGATATCTTTTTGGATTTTGGAGTAACTTTTTGACTTTTTGACTTATATAATATAAGCCAAACCAGGCCTAAATATTATACAGTTAATAATAAGTCATAGATAAAGTAAAAATTCAATCATTTCTAGATAAAAATTTTAAACCAAATGCCCTCAATTGACAATCTACTTAAAACAATATTAGTAGTAGTAGTTTTTTTATTTTTATTTTTTATTTTTTATTTTTGAACGCATAGGGAAATTAGATTAACGAAACAGTCAAGCTTACATCATTGAGAAGCAAAGAAAATAAAGTTAGAGGAGGGCAAGAGATGTTGAATTCACCCCATGTGAAGGGGAAATTGTCTTGTGAACACACCTTGGTTGGTCAACAAGGAAGTAGGCTACCAACCATGTCAAAGAAGGAGGCTGCCGAAGTCAAGCATGGAGGCTACCCAAAGGCACTCCCACCTACTCCAATGTGTATAAATGGAGGGTGAGAGGAGAGGCCAAAATGTGAGTAAGAGAGTGAGTGAGCAAACCGTGAGACAACAAAGAGTGCGAGAGATGTGAGGCGGAGAGACCGTCTCCCTCGGTGTGAGCGAGGGAGACGGGTGAGTGGCTGAGTGAGGAGAGTGTGAGCTCCTCCTCTATTGTAATCTTTCTGTAATCTCCTCATTGGTATAGTGATAAACGGTTACTCTCCCGTGGACGTAGGCATTGGGCCGAACCACGTAAAATATTGTGTCTCCTTGTGTGTGGGTGTGTTTTTCTGCTTGCAATGATTTCTATAAGGTCTTGGGCGGGATCCCAGATCCCAACAAGAGACACAATTAGTAGAAAGAGAATCAGTAGCATGTGCATTGGCCACCCAATGTTCTGCTCTATTAGATGATTTGTTAGCCCAAAGAAACTTCCACTGTCTTGAGGTAGCAAAATGTCGAATGTCCAAAATGATAGCCATTATCTCCCAAGGGGGAACTTATTCAGATGCACATAACTTGATGATCACCAGGTTGTCACTCTCAATCACAACTGAAGATAGGTTGCGAGCTTGAGCCAAAATGCAGGCCATGCGAAGGGAGAGAGCTTCGGCTTGCAAGGCAGACATGATATGTCTGCAATTCAAATAAGTATAAATAACCAAAAAAAAAATTTTTTTTTTTATGTCTTTTATGCTACTCAAGTGGTAAGACACTACAAAAATTTATATTTTTGGCGATCAAATTTGGCGACTAAAAGGAGTTCAGTCACCAAAAGTGCATTTTTTTGGCGACTAAAATTTGCATTGGTCGGCGTTGGTTTAGGATTTAACTACTAAATTTTTTTAGTCAATGTATATTATTTATTGGCTACTAAAAAAAAATTTAGTCGCTAAATATGCCATAATAGGCGACCAAAAAAAAACATTAGTCGGTCAAAAAAGCTACTAAAGGTTTTGGCGACTAAACAATATTTAGTCATGGTACATTCATCTTTTTTGACGAAAGAAAATTCAATCGCCAATTTCTACCTTTGGTGACTAACATTTTAGTCACCGTTAAAGTTGGTTTTCCTACTAAAAAGTTTAGTCGTTAGAAATTAACTTTTGTCGACAAAAGTGCCGTTAGTCGCCAAAGGTGCCACAATTTTAGTGGGAAAATAAAAAGCTTTTGGCACCCGGCCAGGTATTCTCCTTTGTTTAGGAATACAAAACACTTTCAGCTCGTTTGTTTTGAAGGATAACTTATGGGATTGGACTATTAATCCAGAGGGATTAATAGTCCGTTGTTTGGTATGGATTTTTTGGTCCGGATTAATAATCCCTCCGGACTATTAATCCGGAATTCACTGGCTTATTGTATCCCTGGGGGGGTGCCTGGGACAGAATCTATGGGATAATGTATCCCATGGGATTGGCTAGCTTTATTACATCTTTGACCCTCTCATCTTTCTTTTAGCTTTTCCCATTTTGCTTTTACTGCAGCAGATGTAGGAGCAAGAGCTTCATTTCATCTTGAATCTTCGATCTGTTGAACCTTTGCATCCGATCTTCATTCAGGTTTGAAACTCATTCTATTTATTTTTTGCTGAGCTTCATTCTATTAATTTTCAGCAACTTCATGCTATTTATTTTCAGCAGATTTTTTCCAATTTTTTTCCAGATTTTTCGATCTTTTAGTTATTCCAGATTTTTTTTTTCCAGATCTGTAAACTTAAGACTTCCTTAGGAAGCTCAAT